TATATATATATATATAATTTCATATTTTGTATTGTGTAAAAATAAAAAACATTTCCTTGTTTTGTATATTTCCTCCTTATCCCCTTGTGTTCCCAATATCCATTTTAAACTCCACTCTTTCTCTACCTCTCGTACCTTTTCTCTCATCCTCTCTTTCTGCTGTGTACTTTGTACACATCATCAGAACATGTTCCACACTTTCTTTTCCTCCACGACTCTCAGAATGATCATCATTCATTGTTCGTATTAGATATAAAAAGTCATTTAAATAGGAATGCCCCACTCTTAGTCTCGTTTACATCTCTTCGATTTCTTTCTATTAACTTCTGTATTTTCACTGAGTTTTGTATTTTATATAATTTCCTTCTTTTTTTTATCCTCATTCCATTTTTTCTGCCATATTTCTATTTCTTTCTCTTTGATCATTTATTTGCCTTCACCTTTGCCAAATGAGACAGGAATAGTTATTTGAGACGCCAAAGCCTTTTCTTGCAAGTTTATCTGCCGTTTCATTTCCCTTCACCCCCTCATGCGCTGGTACCCAACAAAACTGAATATCTATACCTCCCCCGTGTAGCCTGAACAATGTGATAAATGTCCAGAAGCAGGTCCTTCCTGCAGTTTCCTTTAGATTGTGTGTTTTCACTGACTGCCTTTGAATCTGTGCATATGACCACCCTGTCCGGTCTGACCTCCTCTGTAAGGCTTAATGACTGCTGCCTTCTCTGCTGTGAACACTGAAAGGTTATCTGATAAATGTTTGAATATTGATATTTGGAATTCTAGAATGAAAATCCCACTTCCCACACACCACTTTGTGTTTTTAGAAACATCTGTGAAAATTTTAAGATAATTAAAATAAGATTCTCGAAGATAAATACTGGTTTTAACCCTTTTTCCATTCAGTTTCCATTTTCTTTTCATGTAACTTTCAAATCTATTTTAGTTTTTGGATATAACCATGGAGGGACAGCACTTATTGCAGTAATCTTGCAGAATATTTAGTTTTCTAATCAATAAATTGATGCCCATTTATTCCCCGTCCATCCAAACCCAGCTCTTTGATATTTGGAGTACTCCCAGCAGTTTTGAATTATTTTTGTTGCTTTTCTTTTTTGCTACCTTTGAGTTTTATCCAACAATGAAGGGATAGCTTTATTCTCTTCATTTCTAATGGAGTCTCTCCAGTCTCTATTAATAAAGCATTGATGGGAGTGGACTTTACTGCTCCGGGACATATTCTTAATGCACTGTATTGTAATTTGTCAAGAGTTTTTAGTGTTGTCTTTGCTGCTGAACTGTAAGTTATACATCCATAATCTTTAGCAGATCTCATTAGTGCTCTGTATATATTTAATAATGACTCTTTATCAGCTCCCTCACTTCCAGCTACTGCTTTCATCAGATTAATTACTTTCTTACATTTTATTTCTACTTGTTTTATGTGACTTTTCCATGAATATGAACTATCTAACCAGAAACCATTTCTAGAGGTTGATTATATAATGTTAACTTTTCTAAATTTACTTTCTTTTTAATTGTAGTAACCGAATAACATTTGAATTCCCATTCATATGACCATCTTTCTATTTTATTAATTGCTCTTTTAATGCTTCCTATAACATGAGACACATTCCTTCCCCTCATCTAAATGGCCCCATCATCTGCATAAACTGCAATCATTTAAATTAGAGAATATATCATTGATCATGATATTAAACAATACTGGGCCTATAGCACTTCCCTGTGGTGTGCCATTACTTACAATAAAATCTGTAGAATAATCCTCCCCAACATATACTCTAATTTTCCTATCAGTGAAGACGCTTCCAATACCACCCCCCCCCCCCCCCCCCCCCCC